GTTTCCTTTGCTAAAGTAAGGAAACTTTGCTTCCTTTGCTCCTGTTAACAAACGTTGGTTTTCACGAGACTCGCCGGCGCATGCGCAGCGCTGACCTCATACCTCATCAGCCTGGAGCTGCGTCCGTGTACAACTGTTAGTGCAAGCTACGTTAAAGTGATTATTACGTTTTGAATATGGATATTTTTCTTACAAAAACGCATCGATTCGCTACAGGAGGCCTTTGTTGGCGGATGACATATGGAGGTCGGCTTTGTGCATGCGCCGCTCAGAAGTGACACACGCGGAAGCGCAGCGGAGAGATCAAAACAAAACAACGGTCACTAATTAGAAGTACAAAGCGAGGATTTGTGAAGAAGAATGTCGGAGGATTTCGATATAAGCCAAGAGGAGACTGGTTTTCCTTTGCTAAAGTAAGGAAACTTTGCTTCCTTTGCTCCTGTTAACAAACGTTGGTTTTCACGAGACTCGCCGGCGCATGCGCAGCGCTGACCTCATACCTCATCAGCCTGGAGCTGCGTCCGTGTACAACTGTTAGTGCAAGCTACGTTAAAGTGATTATTACGTTTTGAATATGGATATTTTTCTTACAAAAAAGCATCGATTCGCTACAGGAGGCTTTTGTTCACCCCCCGGAGCCGTGTGAGACACTTTTTTTTAATTTTTTTATGGATGGGCGCTTTTTATTTAACTTCTTTTGGAAGTTAAACGGTATGAAACGGTATTCGGTATGAACCGGTATACCGCCCAGCACTAATTTATAGTAATAAATCAAATATGTTCAAATTCAAATCTGCATATTAGAGTTGATTTAATGTAGGAAAAGACTGGAGTAATGGCTCGAAAAATCAGCTTTTCCATCACAAGAATAAATTACATTTTAAAATATATTCAAATAGAAAAGCAGTCATTTTAAATTTCACAATATTCAAATAACTGCAACCTTGATGAGCATAAGAGACATCAAAAACATGTACGATTTTGGTCATACATCAATTATCCATCTTCTTATGATTTCTCAGACCCAGATGATCAAGAAGGACCCATAGATCTCTCCCGAAGGGACTTGGTGGTTGTGAGTCGGGATCCAAAGCAGGATCACAACTACAGCAGCACCCCTGTCCCGCACTGCCCTCGCCAGATGCCTCCTTCACAGCCGGTCAACTTCAGTCTGGCCCTACACCACGATCAGGAGAGAGGAGGCCGGGCCCGATGGCCACGCAGCCCGCTACAGGGTCCGCTTTTCGGAAAGAGGAGCAGAAGAGATTCTCGTCCAGACGTGGATGAGGAGCTCAAGGAGGCGGCCGGCTCACTCCTACACCTGGCCGGTATTCGTACCAGTTTAGTCGCCTCAAGACGCAAGAGCAGGAAAATCAGTAGGAAATGAACCCGATTCTGAAACTCCATCCTGTGGCCTGCCCAACCTCTCTCTTCTGGTTTGGTGTATCTTCCTTCTTGTTTATAATTGTTGGGGTGTTTTCTTTCTTTTCGTCCGGTCCACTCATCAAGCATGGCAATACAAACACAGGAGAGAAAAGCCATACTGACATTTTATGTACAGAAAAAGAAACCAATTTGAATGAACAGCCCACATCATTTGAGTTTAACGGTATGAGAGTTTGAAGATGTTAATTGCTTAAAAAAAAAGAATTAAAAAGAGACTGGTAAAAAAAAAAAAAAACAAGATTTGCATGCTTCCACCTCTAAATCAACACAAACTTATTTATATGGAAAATGAATGCATGGATTTTACAAGCTCCCAAGATCTCTCACGCTTCTTAACTATAGAGGGAAAAAGCTTAAAAAAAAAAGAGAGAAATATGAAAGTGCCATTGATTTTGGATCATAATATAAACATGATACAAATGAAGAAATGCAATAATTAGTTGACCTAAATATCGTAGTTATTTTATTTTTGTACTGCTGGTTTATATCTCGTGTGGTGGTGACGGCATGCCACTGGGAGCCTTTTGCTGCCACAGTTATGATGTCAAAACCATGTGACTCCTCCCGTGCGTCCTGATTGGATCAGTTTTGCATCCCCATCCTGACCACTATGACTGGAGAACAGCTTGAAGGAAACAGCTTTTTGTTGCATGCACATCAGCCTCAGTGTTTCTCAGATGCTAGCGATCAGGTGTTGTGCTATTCCACATGCACTGACTTGATTAAATCATTGCCCGTGTGCATATTGCTTGCTTTCGGAGTGTACTAAATATCAGCCAATCAAAACAAGAACCTCTTTACCTCTACTGTAAGATTTGAACCCCTCTTTCCCTTTCCTGCTCCTTGACTTTATGTTGGCGTGAGTGTCACTTCTACCCAAATCAGGCATTTGTTATCTTTTTCTTGGTTTCAACTGTGTGACGAAGCCTCCAGTAGGGGGAGCTCCGTGAAACGCCCACTTCTTTCCATTGCTGCTTTTGAGCTGGCGCCGTGCTGCTCCAGACCTCCAGAGAGTTCAGATGAAACCAGAGACAATGTGAACTGCACAATAAATGCGCCTGCAAGCAGGGACAAAGACATTCTCCCTTCGCTGCAGCTCACGGACGCTGCTGATCATGGGAGAAAGGATCACAGGAAGTGAAACGGGGAGAGTGGACAGTATATTGCTTGACTGTGATGGGAGAGCCAACTGGATGTGAACTGTGCCACTGAGAACTCTCTGGACTCCCAGACATGTTTAACCCAGTTTTTTTGTCCCATTTGAGATCGCCAAAGTTGCTGCTCACAAAACTTGCGTGGCTGTGTGTTCCCAATAGTTTGTTTGTTTATGATTGGGTTTTTAAGTGTTTGTTTGAGGCTACATTAGGATTTTATATACCCAAGCATGTGAAATTGTGAACTATAACTGCCACTTGCCCCTTTACACTGGCAAACCAGAACGTTCTGTTTGAGTCGATTACTTTAAAACTGCCTATTCTTGTGAAGCTCTTTCCCTGTCACTTTAACCATGGCTGCCAATTCGTCCCCTCCTAGCTGTACATAGTGCTAATACAGAATGCAAGTATTAATGCAGGGAGGGGAGCCAAGCAGTAGTTTTAGAATTTTAGGCCAATTCTGAAAACAGCTGCCTGTGAATTATTATATTACTATTATTATTGTTATTATTATTAAGATAAGGTCCACTAACTGAGTTGCCACTTCCCTGTCAATTTTGTCATGTTCTTCTGCCATATGTGGCAGCTGAACCTGATTTTTGATTTTGTAAGCTAACCTCTGTTAATAAAAGGTTTATAAAATTTATTTTTGCCAAAGATATGCAATTGTTGCATTATATATGGTATTAAAGAATAAAAGAGTTTTTTCTTTTACTGATTTAGTGTTTGTTGTTCACTATATCATCAGACTGTAAAGCCACATTTTCAGTATCTGACAAACAACAGACATGAAGTCATTCATTTCCAATGGAGCTTTTATTTCAAATTATTTAAATAAATGTGACATTCTTGTTGAAATTGATTTTTTTTTTAACTATTTACAAACAAAATGAGAATTAACAACATTTTTACACTAAAACATTATTCTTTAATCATTGTTTCTGTAAAATGGACAGTTATGAATAACTGTTCAAAATTCATACATTCATCATTCATTTATTTTATCATGGAAGGTAATGACTGCTTCATGACCAATTCTTAAGTTCTTTGTAAATGCGCCTGGGGGGTAAAATGCGACCTTCATATGAATGTCGAAAATAGTTTAAAAGCAGCTTAAATAAGTCACGTTCACAATTAGAACGATAACTATATTAGCGTCCACACTAATGGACAACAATTATTATTATTATTAATTATTATATATAAACGTTATTACATTATGTAACATTGTAAAAGGGCATGGTAGATTCTGATTGGTTGTCAATGTTTTAATCGTTCTGAAAGTAATTCCAATGAAATCGTTCCTCTTCGTAGGACAGTTATCGTAACAGCTGTGCACTTTCCTATTCTCATAGAATTAGAATGATTATTCAAACTTAATAGTTATCATCACAGTGATCGTCCTTAGTGTGAACAGGCCTTAAGGCTATGTTCCATATGCTAATGAATCCTGCGGAAGTATACACTGTATGCTGACTACTATTTTTGGAAAAATGGTTAGTGAAGGTAAGATGTGGATAATGTTTCAAACAGTACTATGCAACATTGCTGTCAGATTACCCTATTACATTGCATATTTAGTTCAGATTGAGTTTCATCCAGTTTTAATCTAAGAAATAAAAACTACTTCTATTGCATTTTTATCCAGTTTGTGTAAGAATGTCAACATTTGTTCAATCAAACAGTGAGTCAAGAAAGAGGCACAGCTCTTTCAGGATCATTCCTCACACTTGTTCCTCACACTGTAACAACAGGATGGTCATGTCAAGCGCATTGCATTGTGGGATGTTCTTCCACAAGCTTTGTTCATCTTAGGTAATCTATGCATACAGAATATTTGCATACCGTGCACAGTATAACTACCATATTCTGTAGCAATAATAAGAGTAACATGCAATTATGCAGTGTTTTTTATGACTTGCTTTATGTTTTTGTTGGATTACAGCGCCGTCCAGTGGTCAGCTGCAGCCATAGACTGATATTCACGGAAATACAGAAATATTCATAGTGCTGCTGAATTAATATAATCATCTTAGTTCTCACTGTGGGTGTTGGAATTAAAATGTTGTGACCCACAGACATGGGGTTTTAAAAGTAATGATTATCTCCTAAAATAGATTTTAAAAATAATTTTAAAGTTCTAATGGTTGCAGTAACTACTCTCTGCTTTCTCTGTGTGTGGCTTTCTTGCTGTCCACTGTTCCCTTGATTTACGGCATTGAACCCCTGGCCTTGATACATGAGCCATATCTTCATAACAGATTCCTCTTTTTTTTATGGACTTCCTCAGCCCATTTGAGGTTTGAGTTCAGGGTGCCCTATTGCACAGCTGCTGTAACTGCCACACACTCCCATCGCTCCACTCCAGCACTGAGGCAAACATTGCTGCCAAAAAAAAAAAAAGTTAGCAGAACAACGGCTCTCTGTCTCAGAGCTTAAACATTATTGCAGGTGCAAAGATAAGAACAGAGTCAAGACTTGGACAGAGTGAAACTCACTCCTAACTTTGGTTTTAAATTGTGCCTCAGTTCATGTAAAGCAGAAGCAGACTCTGCTGTGTGAATGTCCAGTAAAGGATTCATTGGTTGTACCATAAATCCATTCAACTTAAAAATCTCATACTCTCTCAGACATCCTCTCTCATTCTTGCGGTTGGTCTGCGTGGTTATAGTGACCTTGAACAAATCATTCCAGTGCTAAAGGACTGAAATATTTGTGATAAGAGTGGGCGATGGCAAGGGCTATAAATGTCTTTTCAGTTTCAGCACACATGAGAACTGAAATAATACAGAAAACCAAACCATCTAAATGGAACTGGAGGTTTTCATATAGTGTAATTATGTTTAACTTACATTATTATTTTTTGGTTATATAAAATGAACAAATATACAAAACACACTCTTAATGGTTTACAATTTCTTTATTATTATTTCTTTATTTTTTGCATGTTGACCTTTGCCACCAGTATCAGCAAGCCTTAAAGCATCCTCTTTTCTGCAGATGAAAAACAAGTTTTGAAAAATATGATTCTGGATATTTTGGATGCATAATCCCTTTAAATTTAACAAGCTTTTCACTTCAGAAGTATGAACTAATTTGACGATATGTAATGCTGCATGCTTGTTGAAAGATGTAGAGATCTACATTATTCATGCTAAAGATATCGCCTAATCTCAATTTTTGTGCACTCATCCATACAGGATATGTCAAAGGTCAATCAAGTAGCATCTTGGGAATGGAGTATGTACTTCTAAAGACATCTGAATCATTTGACCCGAGAGGTCAAGCACTGTAAGTACACAAAATCAATATGAGATGCCTTTACCCTATTTCATGCTATAGAAATCTTCCAGAATTTCATATCCAGATTTCACGTATTTCCTTTTTTATCTTCATTTCAGCGTGATCAGTGCACTTGGGCGACATGTACCAAGGAATACAGTGTTCCATCACTAGTCTTTAGCGAAGGCACCATGGCTTCGTTTTGCCCCGAAGAGATCTCTGTGCGGTAAATGTGCGCACGTGATTTAAAGCAGCCGAATCAGCTGGTCAGAATGAAGAAATCCCTCTTGAAGGTTTGGGTGAAGAAGGCGTAGAGAAACGGGTTTGAGCAGGAATTTACGGGGGAAAAAAACACCAGCAAGACTTTGGCATGAGAGACGGTGATTAGCGGTAGCTTTAAGGATGCAGAGATGGCGAAAAACGAGATGGGAGCCATGCACAGGAAGTCGGTGAAGATGAGCACAGCCATGCACTTTGCTATACGCATGTTTGCATGGGCAGGAACGAAGGTGGCATTGTGTACGGTCAGGTAGATGCTCATATAACAGACACATACGATTAGAAAAGCAGCTACGTTGAGTAGGAGCAACAGCATCACGTAACCTTGTGAAATCACCGTTTCTACATCCATTGGCAGGCAGATGCTGGTCTTACTGTAGCTGCTCACTCCAAAAATGGGCAACAGAGCAGTCAGCAGGGCGAAAAGCCACCCAGCCGCCATTATTGTGCAGGGATGGCACAGGCACAGTTGCATAGCGTAAGTGATGGTGTGCCAGCGCTCCAGGGCAATGGCAGTCAGAGTGTAAACAGACAGCCCGTAGGAAATAACTGTGAAGAAGCCTGCCGCATGGCACCCAGCTCCCATCTGCCAGTCTATGCCATAGTTGTAGTAGCGGGACTGTGTCTGAATGTCCTTGGCAGCGATGATCAACAGGTAAATGCCCATGCAAAGGTCCGCAAAAGCCAGGTGGCACATTAGAAACCTGCGAACAGTCAGTTTGTAGCGGCTCGTAAGGAGCACCAGGAGGACAGCACAGTTGCCCACCATGGCCAATATGCTGATGAACCAGATCAGAACACGCAGAAATTGTAAAACCCATGATGTCCTCGCAGGGGTTGAATGCATCTGGTCTGGGGTAGCAGGTCACTTCTATTTCATCCTTACAGTGGTCTTCAAAAAAGTATGGTTCCAAGAGGAGGGCACCAGAATCGTTACACATTTGATTCTTCACAGACCTGTATGAGCAGGTACAGTTGAGCTTTCAGTATTAAAGCAAGAAAATGAAAAATTACATCACCATTTACTTATCCTCATGTTGTTTCAAACATCTATGTCTTTTTTTATAAGGAACTGAAGAGGACACGTTTAGCGGAATGTTCACACTGCTCTTTTCCAAACAATGAAAGCGAATGTTGACCAGCTCTTAAAATGACAATAAAAAGCATCATAAAAGCAGTTTATATGACTCGTACGTGATATTCCAAGTCTTCTGAAGCTAAATGAGAGCTTTGTTTGTATGAATTTGTAAAATGTGATTCTTTAGAAATTTTAGAAAAAAAACATAAGCATGAAGGCCCACCCCTAACACAACACCTAAAATTACAAAAGCAGATTGTACAAAAACACAAATTCATATGAATTATTCAAAAGGTTAAATATTTACAAATATTTATAAAATAATGTGAATAATATATACAAAATATAATTACGAATCGCCATGAGAGTGTGTTGGAATATTTTGTACTAATATTCGGTCTTATTTTCGCATGTAATTTGTGTGTTCAAACAAATGCATGAAAAACGGAATGAATGAAAGTGCAAATTCACTCTCTGACAGTAGGTGGTGCTTATAAAAAAGCAGAACTTACTACGATATGCAAAGTGCTGCAGAACTTTACAGGTTTCTGACACCTGCTTGTCACAGAGAAGAAAGGACGTCAAACAGTATTTACATATTTTCAAACAGCTGTTAAGATTTTTGTATTAGCTATAGTGTTTATCAAACTAAAGTTAACCAAAATAAAGTTTGACCAAAAGTGCAAATCTGATTGGTTAGCCAGCTTTATTCGGAGTGCGATGGAAAAGATTAGAAGCTCTCTCCATTAAATAAATAAATAAATAAATAAATATGTGTCTTAATAGATGGAATAGCTGCTCATTTAAATTAAAATGTTTGTCATACCAATTTTTCTCACCAAATATTCGTCTAGGTATGAACTAACTTTTTTGACAATTTTGGCAGCTTTTGCAGCATCTGTTACCATCTAATTACATTGTATGGAAAGAGCAGCATCTCCTTTTGTAAAAGCAAGCCGCACAGGTTTGGAATAATATAAGGATGAGTAAATTATAACATGATGAACTTTATTTTTTATTGTAGAGTGTAACTGACTTCTTGAAGTTATTGAAGGCACAGCAGTGGCTGGCGTAGGTCAGGTTGGCCTGCTTGAGCTCAGTAAACAGCTCCAGACTGGGAAGCTTTCTCAGAGAACTGACATAGGTGGCCGTCAGAAGCTTCAGCATGCTTTCTGGCAGGGTATGGACAGAAGTACGTGAGATGTCCCTGTAATGACAGCAGCCATTTCAGTGTTCAGTGCAGGACTGGGTATATAGCTTGTTGCTGAACTAAACCAGGTAACAGAGGTTAGTGTGAGTGAAACAGGCGTTGCTGTAAGAGTTTGTCCTGAGGACATAGAGTGGGTGTGTGGTGCTCCAGCTGGTGAGTTGTATTGTTGTTGAAAGTCAGCGTTGTTCATGCTTACAGAACGATGGGACCTTCAGCTCCTATAAAGGCGTACGGGTGGATATGACTCAGCTGCTGGTTTCCCATGAGAAAGCTGTGAGAAAGAGAGAGCAGGGGATTCGATGAAAGATTAGAGGTTTTATGTGAGATGCTAATTTATGAATATATAAAGGATGTAATTGAACTCACAGTTTTTCAATTTTGGTACCATCGAATGCATAGCTGTCTATCGCACGGATTCCATTCCCTGTTAATCTCCTGCAATAGTACATTAAATTAGGCCACTTTTCAAAAGTTTGGGGTTGGTAAGTTTTTTTTTTATGTTTAAAAAACGTCATGAAATAGCTTTTCTGTTTTAATATATTTTACACTGTAACTAATTCCTGTGATGACAAAGCTGAATTTTTAGCATCATCACTCCAGTCTTCAGTGTCACATGATCCTTAAGAAATCATTATAATATGCTGATTTGGTGCTCAATAAACATTTCTCATTAACATCAATGTTGAAGACCTGTTTTTGTGACGACCATTTTTTTTAATTATTTGAATGAATAGAGAGTTCAAAAGAACAGCATTTATCTTAAATATACATGAATGTCAATTTAACGCGCTGAATAAAAGTAACCTTTAAACTGATAGTGAATACAGTACAAATCTGTTAATTTAATCTCTTAATTATTCTGGTAACTGAACGTTCCATTTTTGTGTATTGTAAAAATGTAAATATTCAATACATGTAATTTTGCTGCAGTATTATAAAAAAATTGTTTAAACAGTTTTTTAATGTACTCCAAGGCTAACTATATTCAATTTAAGTGTGTACATTCATTTTCAACAATTCAACAACCCATCATATTCACTCCTCATATAAAGAATAACTCTTTGGGAATAATCAATCACACACTTGCACACGTACAGCTCAGTTATGGTGGCAATGGTCAATCCGAGGAAAGTGTTACTATATCACTGTAACGAAGATATAGCATCGATTTAACATAGATCAGCTGTACTATATTGATAAATTCTTTGTAAATGTTTACAAGTTGTATGTTTTTTTGAATAGGAATCCACCCAAACCAATTAAAAATACACTGCAAAAAATGTAAAATGTAAAAATGCTACAGTAAAAACCTGTTAATTGGTTCACAGTAAGTTTCCGTACTGTATACGGTGAATAACTGTAATTACAGTTAATGTAATTTTTCAGTAAAATACTGTTGGTTTTTGGAAGTGAATAAGAACAAGTCATTGTATAATTTACAGTGAAAAAACGTACACTGACATTCCCAGAATTCCCTGCATGACAGTATTTACCTTTTTAGCTTGTGAAAAGCTGTTTGTGATGAGCTTTGGTTCGACTTTCTCATCACCACCTGTTATTGGTGGTTATCAGTGTATTACAAAATAGATATTAGTACTTTAATAGGTGGATATAATAACATGACTTAATTAACATTGAATTTACATACTGTGAATGTAAACTCAGACTGTAAATCCTAAAATGTTGCTGCCATATTTTTGACGTTAAAGTTCCACCAACCACAGCTTCCAGTATTTTACCGTAAATGTCACATTTTGTTTATATTTTTTATATATTTTTTTTACAGTGTATACATTAAGACAGTGACAACATGAGTAGAGACTTACAATAGAAATTCAAGAGCAGCAGAGTTGATCTTGGAGAAATCAGGCAGGAATTTAAGACCAGTGTTTGATATAGTCCTAAAGGAACACACACGCACACACATACAGACAAGATTAATGAATTGAATATACGTCAGAGAGACATTTGTATTTTGTCTTTGTATCTACAGCCTTTGTTTCCTGTGAGAAACATTTGATATGGATATTGACCCGTGTTTAGGTCATTCTGCTTTTATTGAGGTTTTTCAGGACTTTTAACATAACTCAATGATCGACTGAAATTCTTGTGGGAATATACTCCCTTTAAATTGCAGAACCACAGCATGAGACCAAAATGATTCAGAATTTACTAGACAAGAGTAATGAAGACAGAGGAGAACTCACAGATGCTGTAGCTTTGGAAGTCTCCAGAAGGCATCTTTTTGGATCACAAGATTTTTTGATTTTGTAATAGTACTGTCAGATAGATGGATAGTTAGAAAAAAAGTTGTTTTGTCTTTCATATTAACTACAATTTGTGATTCAAATTTTAACTTACTATTTTTAATCGCTACAATAATGTTTTGACAAGAATGTAATTGGTTGTAATTTCCACATGTAGTGCAGCAACATACATTTCCTTTAGCTCTGTCAGGTTGTAGAAGGCGTAGTCTTCAATTCGCTCAAGAGCATCATTCTCAGACACCACTCTGAGGAGGAGAATAGTTATATGAATGCCTAAAACTTTTAAAACGGATTGCAATACATCATCATGATTAAAAAAAAATCTTAATTATCATGATGCACTATTTGCTTTATGATTTCTCACAAAAAATAACTCACCCAAATATGAAAATTTGCTGAAAATGTAATCACCTTCAGGCCATCCAAGATGTAGATCAGTTTGATTCTTTAATGGAACAGATTTGGAAAAAAATAGCATAATATCACTTGTTCACCCTTCAGTGAATGGGTGCCATCAGAATGAGAGTTCAAACAGCTGATAAAAACTTCGGTAATCCACACGACTCAGTCCATCAATTACAATTTTGTGAAGCAGAAAGCTGTGTGAAAAAAATCCATCATTAATGTGTTTAGAACTTGAAATCATCACTTCTGGCTAAAATATCTATTCATATCCACTGTCCATAAAATTGCTTTCTCCAGTTAAAAAGTAGTCTTATCTGAATCAGGAGAGAAATATGCAAAGATCAAGCACCATTTACATCCAAAAACAAATGTTTTTTTTAATTTTTTTTTTTTTTTTTTATGTGAGAGGACAACAGGGGATGGACTTTTTCACTGGAGGAAACATTATTAGGGACTCATATTTTGGCGAGAAGCAACAGTTTAAAGTTAAAACACCATAATTATGGATTTGATTCTTACAAACATGCAGCTTTTCACTTAGCAAGATATTAATTGATACACTGGTGTCGTGTGGATTACTGTGATGTTTTTATCAGTTGTTTGGACTCTATGACGGCACCCATTCAGTGTAGAGGGTTAATTGGTGAGCAAGTGACGTAATGCAAATTTTCTCCAAATCTGTTTCGACGAAGAAACAAACTCATCCATATCTTGTATGGCCTGAGAGTGAGTACATTTTCAGCTATTTTTTATTTGGAGTGAATTATTCCTTTAAGGGCACTGGGGGAAATCAAATCACTATGCAAATACTGACTTAATAATTAAAAAAATAATAATAATTCTGAGATTAAATAAACTTGATTTTATCTCTTTTAATAATAAGAAAAAAAAAACACTTGCCAATTATTCTGTCCTAGGTTTTGCAGTATTTTAAAACTGTGATACATATAGTGTTTGGGTCACTGTTAAACATCATGTTCCATATGAAAGTCTAAACATATTCAATCAAGACTAAATATCATGTGTTTATAGTTTTGCATTGTCAAAACTAAGCCAAACGTCAAGAAGAGTTGTGAGCATTCAGTAGCAGTTTCTTTGGGTTTTAAATGCTTGATTAAATGCTTTGGATTCTTGCTGAATATACACTTCCATGTTTTAATAGTAAACAGTTCGGTGTCTTTGCACTCACATTCTCTTCAGCTCATGTAGTTCAGACAGGGCTGCTCGGTGAAGCACGCTGATCTGAGTCAGTTTGATCTCCCTGCTCAAAATTAGACAGAAGAGATGTGATTTACCATCCATCAATGTGTTACAGTTATAAATAGCACAGTCTACTCAGAGGTGAGTGTGGTATTATAAGAAATCCTATATAAAAGTTGACATGTCTATTTCAGGTATGGCTGTTTTTATTTATATATTTATTTACTTATTTTTGCTTTCACTAGATTACTAATCACTTAATTTGTATTAGTGCTGTCAAACGATTAATCGCGATTAATCGCATACAAAATAAACGTTGTTTTTTTTTGTATAAAATATACATGTGTTCTGTCTTCTGTGTATATTTATTATGTATATATAAATACACACATACAGTGTATATTTTGAAAATATTTACATGCATTTACATGTCTATATTTATATTCGTATAATTTATATTATATATAAATATTAGACGTCAACCAACGTATTTTGGATGCGATTAATTGCGGTTAATCGTTTGACAGCACTTATTTGTATCTAGTTTAATAAGGTCATAGACTCTGCAAACCTTTCAGTGATACCTCTTGACAGCTATTTTCTATAGGCACACAAACATTCTTTACTTAAATGGAAAGTATGCTACAAATTCTCCTATTAATTTTTAAATGAGTGGTCCGTCTCCACCTGATTATAATTTTGACACCAAGTAAAAACAGATTTGCTGAAATCAAACAAAATCACATTTTATGTGTTGGCTAATTGGCATGAATTCAGACCTTCATGGCTTTTTTCCATACAAATTACATTGCACATATTCATACAAATTTGTTCTCTCAAGCATACAAGCTTCATTTTCTCATGAGATCAGACTTAGAGAGATCAGTTTAAATTTATAGTATCAGTGTGTGCGTGTGCGTGTGCGTGTGCGTGTGCGTGCTTTGCAACTCTTTCCAAATATATTTGTGAACTTACACCAATCTTCCACTTCAGGAATCTAATAGGTTCTCATGAAAGTTAGTATGAGCAGAATGAGTCATAGCAGAAACTAGGTCATTCAAGATGCGAAATGTTATGAGAAATGGAAACACAATTACCAGTAGCCTATTTACAGACTGCAAATAATCTATTTACTGTCAAGATTTTTTGTGTAATTCTTATTGCACATTGTCATTAGTGTCTGTGTGTTCTCCCTGTGGATATTCATTCCTGTAATCCCTCAGAAACGCAGACAGCACAATTACACAAAGCACTCCGGACAAGAATCCTTGTAAAGCATGCAGGAAAGTAAATCTGGTACAAGAGATACAGATATTAAAGATTAGAAAAATCACTATATCTTTGTTAAATCATAGTTTGACTGTTTTTATCCTTACTTCTTTGTCCCTGACTGAATTTGGGGTGGGTTATCTAAATAGCTGATGGAGGAAGTGTTTGAAAGCGAGCAATATTTTTATTTTTGTGATTCCGTTTGGTGTCGTTAGTGGTGCAGAATGTAATGTTTTAGAGACATTAGCCTTGATATTTACAGTTATAAAGAGAGAAAACATCTGCAGTATGAACAATCAAGCACAGGACTGTTTGTTCTTGCAGTGCAGAGTAGAAAGTCTGACACGCTGACACACACACAAGCTGAAAAGCTCTTGATGCTTTTTCCAAAATGGAAAAGTTAAAGAAGTCAGAAGTAATGAACACAAAGCGCAGACAGTCATAGTGAGACTCGGAGCACAAAAAGACCCTGTCAGGTTGAAATGTGTGATCCAGCTGGGCATCTTCAGATAGATTCAACCTTATCTAAACTGACTGGCAGTCGGTTCAAAACTGAAATAGAATCCACCATTAACCTGCTTGAGGAAGTTAAAGACCTTTACCTCTCGTGGCCTAATGGTTAGAGAGTCGGACTCGTAACCCAAAGGTTGCGGGTTCGAGTCTTGTACCGGCAGGGATTGTAGGTGGGGGGAGTGAATGTACAGCGCTCTCTCCCACCTTCAATACCACGACTGAGGTGCCCTTGAGCAAGGCACCGAACCCCCAACTGCTCCCCGGGCACCGCAGCATAAATGGCTGCCCACTGCTCCGGGTGTGTGTTCACGGTGTGTGTTCACTGCTGTGTGTGTGCACTTTGGATGGGTTAAATGCAGAGCACTAATTCCAAGTATGGGTCACCATACTTGGCCACATGTCATGTCATGTCACGTCACTCTCTCTCTCTCTCTTTTTTTGACTGGTTGAAAAAGCAAATGACTTCATGCAATGCATGAAAAACATTGAACATAAAAACACACTCCCCCATGTCATGCTTGAGAATTTGTATGAGGGACGATAGCCTTGAGATTACAAAAAATATTCTGGGTCTCGCAAAAGAAACATGAATTCTTTGTCAATCACATTCTCTCCAAACCACAATAACAAGCTCTGGAACAATAACCGTGTCACTGAGAATCTCAGGTTTTTAATTAGACTGTCAAGTTGTCAGTGTTGTTTATTACTTTCGTTATTATACAACTCTCATTAAAATTCTTATTTATTTAATCTTTTTGTTTTGTTTAAAATAAATGTAAGAAAAGTAGTGCATAAATCTCTATAATCAATTTTCAATAAAAATATCATGATTAAAGAATACAATATAGTTTGTTTTGAATTACAAAAAATGCTAAAAAGAAAAAAAACTGTAAGCAATAAATGAAAATTGTTCATATTTTGTCGTGACATTTTATAGTAATTTCTAATAATAATATTTTTTAGGAAATATTCATTATACTGATTTATGTACCTACATTTTCTACTTGTATTTCACTGTGCACTTTACTATGTCAGTATTATTTTGGTATTATTTATATACTATTATAATATTTATTAATATGTTGAATTAGCTGTTAATTTTATATTTTCCGTTTTATATTATTTTTACAGTTCCTCTTTCAATGTTTGTTTTATTTAAGTTTTATTTTGAGTAATTTTAGAACTTCAGCTAGTTGTCAAGGCAACATTTACATTTTTTTAATCCAATATTCAATATATTTATTTACATAAATTATTTATAACATAATTAATTATTTATTTATACCATTTATCTAATATCTAACATTTATTTAATTTGATTTCAACTCTATTTCAATTAATGAAAACAAATCTTTAAATAGTTTTAGTTAACAACACATACTGTAACTTCAACATCCAAAACAACTAGGTAGCATCAAAATATTTGAAGTGAGGATTCTAATGTGAAATTCATAATAACTATGCATTTTATTGTGCATTTGTGTGTGTGTTTATACTCACACAGATGTAGTATTTTTCGGTATATATCTTGGAATCTCATGGACCTTGTTGCAGAAGAAATAGCGAGTTGAACCATTGAGTGAGCAGAAATGAGATCCAGCAAACATGCCTTCTGTGTGTGGCATGAAGCAGTCAAAACTAAAGTACAGCATCATCAGCAACACCATCCTCTTTATCATCTTCTCTTTCAGGTGGAAGGCTTTTTGCAGTGTTTGTGAACTGAGGCCTTTAGTGCAGCTCCAGGGCTCCAGTTCTGGGCTGAACCGCTCAGATTGGTCAAAAAGTGAATGCGGTCCTCCCCATCCATACTGAGCTCTGAAAGTCCCAGAAAAGCTACATACAAAACAGTTTTCATTTTGTAGCTACCAATGTTACTTTTTTCGAACGTACTGTGCGTACTACTCGGTAAACATGTTGATAGTAGTGGACACCAAACAGATACACTAGCACTCACTCTTAGCTAATACTCAACAACTTAAAATTCCACAGCTCTTGTAAAATATTAGTGGACACAGGTTTTTAAAGATGCATAACATGAAGTAGGGCTGAATGAAAGCTTATTAAATTTACAGTACAAATTGGATTGCAAGAAATTCTCTGTAAAAATGTGGTAACATATTAGGGCATTATAGGATAGCATTTTGGTGTGATTTGGGTTCTGTTTTAACATTTAAAGTGGGTCATAGGCCTCTTAGGGTGGTTTTTACAGGCCCTCTGTGAAGCTGATTATAATGGCTGACTATTTTATAACTACGATAACAATGAAAAGATAGAATGCAAATCAAAATTACGGTTTAGGATTGTAAGTACCCGAGTAAGAGTAATATATTTAAAATGCATTTATTTCATTCGAAGTATAGTTCACATCTCTTGACATATTTACTGACACATCGCTCGAGGCTTACTTATATAAATATTACAGTTAAACTTTATTTGGAGTACTATTTGCACATTTCTTAATATTAAGCATAAACTGTGTTTTAAAAAATGAAGTGTGGATCAGCTGATAAACAACACTGGTGTCTTTTTAATATGTAGCCCTGTCTTAGAATAAAGGCTTTTTACTTTGCTTACTATGCGAGTGCCTGGATGTGGAATTTTTTGCAACAAGATCCACTCTTCATTTTTGAAATGTTGTTCCCTCTCTGGAGCACCCATAGTTTTGCCTGCGAGTACCTGATGAAGGTTTTTCCTTTGATTAATTGTGTTTTAATGTCACTATTGATGAGGATTGTATGATCTTTGAATAATATTGGCCTTTAAATGCAAGATATTTATACCTGAAGTATACTTGCAATAGTTCCACTTTTGCACAATCAAATATACTCAGTATATCTTTTGGTTGGACTTAAGCACTACTTCTGCACAATTAAAGTGCATTAAGCAGAAATTGTAGCAGACTTTAAGTATATTGGTTTAGTATACTAAAAGTACAATTGCCAGTTATTTTTATTAAGAACATAAATATGTATTTGTAGTATACTTAGCATGAAATAAATGTATTTCAAATACATTTAGTAGTGTAAAAAGGCTAACACTTTTTTTTTTTGTAAATAAGATTTTATCTATCTATAAAACCCTAATTGTAACATAATGTTACTGTATCTCTCTTTCTCTCTCTCTTTTCTCATTTAAAATTGTGGTAAATGTGATAATTATTTTACTTGGCATTTTCTGCTAAAATTCTAATAGGTAATTCTAGTAGATTTTTTCCACACCTTGGCTGCCTTTAAAAAAAAAAAGTTCTATTGGAAAAAAAAATTAAAATAAAAAATCAATTGTGAGTTTTAATTGCTGTGCACTGCTGCTGTGTGTACTTGAGTTAAACAGTGCTGTGAGAGCTGTGATTGGAATACAGCCATGGCAGAGAGCTGTTCAACTGTGGGCTTTATAAAACAGCCCGAATAAATGGATAACCTTGAGGAGTAGTTAGTAGGGAAAGGGTGTTTTTATTGCTTTTATTACTAAATTCTGTTTCTTTGACCTGAATGTACCTGTATGGCTTCAAGAAAACATGTTTAAAAAAAAAAATGGTTCCCTTTGAGCACCAGTTAAATTATGACTTTGAAATGTCAATTTAAGATTTAATTCCCACAATACAACGAAAGCTTTAGATGCTTTTGAACACATAGAGTTTTGTAATGCCGCAATAATTAGAAACGATAGTGAAGCAAAGTGAATATTTAGGTCAGTTCCTGTTTCATTACTACAGAGTCCCAAAAGCGAGAGTGAGGGAACGGTGGAAATGAGACTTGTGTCGCTGCATCTGTTTGAAATACGTAATTAAGCCCTCTCAGCAACATTCTTATTTTACCTTGATGATAAGGACGGTGAAGGTGCTAAAAATAGCTGGCTGGGTTAGGCAATCAGAGGACTGTTCCCGTCTTATCACACCCAGGTGAATACACAACAGAGTGCACAGGAAACAACAGAGCTTCCGTAATAAAATAAAGATGAGAAGAAAATGAATGTAACATATAGATACAAGTGACACTTGAATACTTATGCATACAGTGCAATAATAATAATAATAATAATAATAATAACAACATTATTTATATACTATTATGCTTTTTATTCAAATTTTCTATTGGTCTTTTTTTATTTTTTTGTAATTTTAATATGTACTTTTGCCTTTTTTAACATGACTATTTTGGTTTAATGTATTGTTTATTTTAGTTTTAGTTTTTATTAATTTTATTTTATTTCCTGTTAGTAATTTTAATGTTCCAGCTTTAAACTAAATGAGAAATTATAAATGTTGCAACTAACTGAAATAAGTTTAGGTTTATCATCTAATATTTATCGGATTTCAGATTTATTTCAATTAACAAAAGTGTTTTAGTTTCAGTTCTAGTTTTAGTTAACTATAATAACCCATGTAAACTACTTGATATTGTTGTTTTCGAATATTAGGCATTTTTTAGGTATTTTGAAAAATTCCTGATAAATACCTAATAATAAATAACATGTTTAAAACGAGAAAAAAAAAAATTACGTATCTCACATCTTACAAATAGATCTTAGAAAAAAGACAGAATTAGAAAAATAGAAAGACAAATAACAAGTTTATGTTTAAAATAAAAAAATAAATATTTGTGGGGTGAAAAATTGGGTTAAAAAGTGATATAATCTGTGAAGTTGTATTATTTTACAAACTTTACTTCTCAAGAAAACAAGACAAAAAGACTAATAATTAAAAAATAATAAAAATGACATCTTACAAATAGATCTTAGAAAAAAGACAGAATTAGAAAAATAGAAAGACAAATAACAAGTTTATGTTTAAAATAAAAAAATAAATATTTGTGGGGTGAAAAATTGGGTTAAAAAGTGATATAATCTGTGAAGTTGTATTATTTTACAAACTTTACTTCTCAAGAAAACAAGACAAAAAGACTAATAATTAAAAAATAATAAAAATGATGATTTGCATATCATCAGCACGGCAAATTGAACTTGACATTGTATTGTCATAACACACAACATGTCAGCAGGGGGCAGAAGAGAACCATAAACGAGAACATCAACCCTTCTGTGTACATAGTAGCTCTTGGCGAATGGCAATGCTGTTGTAACCTATTCATGTCACCCTACGTTTGTGCAACTGTTCATTGTTCATGTTTGCTTAGAACCCCAAACCCTGTGTAATATGTTTTGTTGAGCAGAGTAAGATTTCATGTTGATAATTTAGCAATGTTTATGCAAAGATATGTTGTAAAGTATATATATGTTTTGTTTGTGGAAATGACAGACAGTCACCTCTGGATGTTATATTTAGCTTTGAGCCAGCTGCAAGCTGTGATCTGGATGTTCATAGCCTGATGCCTATCTGCCTGGAGCCTTGTGCTCTCTGCCTACACACAGTGTAGGCTACGGCATTCTGCATTCCTAGTGATGTGCTCCCTTGCTGATGAGATCTTCAATTTTGTTCTCGCTTCCGTGGATACAATAGCCCCAAAAGATGTAGCATCTGATAATGGGGTTGAAAAAAGACCCTATTTCTGCACAAAAAGGCATCTGCTCGGAGCAACGGTGTAAAGGATAAATGTAAATTAGCATATACAGTATATAAAAAAAAAACGAGAGTTATTTCATTGACGAGCACACATATACTGTACATCCTCTGAACTTGTCCGGAGTGTTCTGTGGTTTAAGGACGAAAAACCTTACAGATCTCATTCTGTTTTCAAGACCATCAGCAGAGACATATTGTGTCTTTCTGTGGAGACATGATAAGATACGCTCTGACAGCTACCTGATTCTCTTCACACTCTTTCATTGGCAGGAGCAAAAAAGTGCCAAGGGCTCAGGTGTACGGGGGCTTTGGGATAATGAAGGATTTTATAACTTTTTCCCCCTCAAGCATGTCTGAACATAGTGGATCTTGTCCAAAAAGCAGCATGGTAATGTATTGCTGTATCTGTTGGCTTTTTCAATTTTGAGGAGGTGTCTGTTAGTCTTCCGTATTTTTAATTAAAGGAATAGTTTACCTAAAAATGTAAATTGCTGAAAATCATGAGTTTGTTTCTTCATCGGAACAGATTACTCACCAATTGATTCATTGCAGTGAATGGGTGCCGTCAGAATGAGAGTTCAAACAGATGATGAAAACATTACAGTAATAAACAGGTAATCCACATGACTCCAGTCCATCAATTAATGTCTTGTTAATTGTAAAACTGCATGTTTGTAATTAACGAAGCCATCATTAAGCTGTTTTTAAGTTCAAACCATTGCTTCCACATAAAATATAGAATCCTCTATCCATAATATTGAGAAAGTTGTCTTTTCTGAATCAGGAGAGAAATATGCACACCAAAACAGTTCTAAACAAATACGTTGATGGAATTTGATGTAAGACAATAGGGGATGGATGGAATTTTTTCACTGGATGAAGCATTATTATGGATTATTTTGGCTAAGTTAAGTTAAAATGTTAATATGTAATGATGGATTTTGTTTTTCTTACAAATATGCAGCTTTTCACTTCACAAGATGTTATTTGATGGACTGGAGTCATATGGATTTCTTGTGGATTATTGTGATGTTTTTATCAGCTGTTTGATCTCTCATTCTGACGGCACCCATTCACTGCAGAGGATCCATTGGTGAGCAAGTCATGTAATGTTACATTTCTTCTAAACATCCGTTTGGATGAATAAATAAACTCCTTTGCACACTGGATGGCCTTGTGGTGAGCAAATTGTCATATTTGGGTGAACTGTTCCTTTAATTGAATGTTACTTGACATTGCAAATATGTGAAATTAGCTCAGTGAAGTATGTTTTAAAAATGAAAACAGTGACTATGATGTCATGCAGGCTGTGACTCACTGAAAACACAAGGTTGCTTTTCCTCGTCGTACTATAACAGGTAGGGATGCTGTTGTGTGTATTGGCATGCGCTGGCAGTGAAGAAGCAGAGGAAAATTGGATCTGTGGAATAAAACTTTCTAACAATGGTTGTTTCGGCAGTTGTTGACATCAGCAGATGACATGCAGCAAAACATGTTATGTCTTGGACTGGTGAAGTCAAACAAAGCCAGTTCTTTTTTCCTCCAGGCTATTATTGTATTATGAAAGGAGGGAGCGGTAAATTCTTATGAGCGACATACTCCTTCACGCTCTGGCAGTCTTCTCTTTCTCTGTCCCTCTTTTTCCTCTCTCTCCCACCCCACCTCAATCAAACCCATCAACCTCATTAACATTCCACATCCAGGAGCAAACCAAGCGTTCAGCTTTGAGAAGAGAGGACAAAGTAGCATGCTCTCCTGAGGAAAACACATTGACATTTTGTCAAGTCAGAGTGTTGGTGCGGCTTTCTTCCGTGGAACTGGGTTCATTTTAAAATGATGCCGTAAGGAATATTTTCTCCTTTTATACATCCACTATTTCTTGAAATCTTCTTGAATAGTTTTTTAAGATTCCTCAAAATCTCTGTTATTATAAGATTTTGCATAAGCAGGGCACTGTAGGCCATTTTATTCTACATGTTAGATTGCTCTTTGCTTACCCTCACTGTATATGACTGTATATTGATAATATTCACAATAAAGGTAATTTAAATAAAGTCCATACAGAGGATAAGCAGTTTGGCGAATAAATGGATGGATAGATAGTCCATAATATAATATAATATAATATAATATAATATAATATAATATAAAAACAAATGTATTAAATGGTCTCAGAAGGCTGGACCCCAGTGTATATAGATATTAGTTAGATATTTAGATAATATTCTTATTTTTATCTACATAGTAGCATGGGCCAGTTTCATATCTCTGCATTGTTTGAGCTATTCAATTCAATTCAATTCAATTCAATTCAAGTTTATTTGTATAGTGCTTTTTACAATACAAATCGCAACTTTACAGAAAATTAAGTTTCTACAATATTAGCAATTATTATATGATGCAATCAAACTTATAGCAAAATTAGTGGACTTTGCTATCCTAGGTACTACCCAAAGTCCAGAGTTTTACGACCTAAGGGGGCGTGATGGATTGTAGCGTGGTAGAAGACTAGTTGGGTACGCAGGATCTAACCCATTAAGGACCTTGTAGGCAAGTAATACTATTTTGTAACTGATACGGAACTTAATAGGTAGCCAGTGCAGAGACTGTAAAATTGG